CACCCCAGACAAATGAGACTAAGTTGAACATTTCAGCACGATGAAGCGCCGAGGCGTCCTGAATGAAAAGCGCGTACGTTTTTTCTAGAGAATGATGTCATACGCAATTTCAGGCCGTCTACCTGTAGTAGTTCTTCACTATGGAAGTTGACACCTAAGAGTCCATTGCCTGCAGCAAAGTTTACGGCTAGTTTCGAGGAATCCGTACGAATGTCCTGCATTACCTTTTGCAGAGACGGATTATAAATAGGAAAAAATACCTGAAAAGGAGTGTATCGCGTGGTAGGGCCGACAACTAGGAGCATCACAGGGTATATATGTTGCTTAAGGCTGATTCTGGAAGTTTATTATTATTCGGTCGCTTGAAAAAACTTGCAAATAAATAGGGCATAGGAACTAACAGGCTGCAAACATCTGGATCGAAACTAGAAAATATTACTCTCCTTTTACCGGCACCTTCTATGACGTTTCGTAAAATAACATCTACAAAATCATTCCGTTCTATGTTGTAAGCAGGGCATTCATGGGTTCCATCCTAGAAAAAGCATTGAATCACAGCTTTCGACATTTTAACTTTCTCACCTTCAATTTCATTGGATATTTAATTTCTATGTTAAATCCCACATTGCTGCTAACGGAGTCTAGGACATGTTTTAGATGAGGGAAAGGATTATTATCGTCTTCGCTTTCCTCTTCTTCACTTGGGGTTACCCTCCATGTCTTATTGAGATGCTCATCAGGATGCTCGAGGTGGAGAAGATGGAGCTGATCAAGGCAGAGATCCTGGATCAAGTACATCAACATGTGCCTTTCACTCAAATATAGTCAGCTGAGACAGTAATTCTTTGCCTGCTCACCTTTATCGCTAATTGATGGTGTCTCACTTGACCAAATAAATCGCGCTTTCTGCCTGCAACTTCAACCATGACATGGAAATCGTGGTAAATGACCGGTTGCATATCCTAAAGAGATAAGGTGGCCGCTAGACTATCAAGATGTCAATCGGAGTGGGAAAACAACTAGGTGAGAAGTTGGGTACCTTTGTTAGCTGCACATCAAACTCG